ACAAAAAACACAAAAATTAGCCAGGCATGATTGCAGGGTGCCTGTATCCCAGCTACTCGGGAGGCTGAGACGGGAGAATCGCCTGAACCCAGGAGACGGGTGAAAAAAAAAAAAAAAAAAAAATCTTAAATTAAAGCACCAGACCCAAATGTCCATCAACTGATGAACAGATTTTTATTTTTATTTTATTTTATGAGGTCTCACTTTGTCATCCAAGCTGGAGAGCAGTGGTGTGATCTTGGCTTACTGCACCCTCTTCATCCTGGGCTAAAGCGATCCTCCTGCCATGGCCTTCCAAAATATTAGGATTACAGCCATGAGTCACCGCACCAGGCCACAGATTTTTAAAATGTGGCATATCCATGCAGTGAAATATTCAGCAATAAAAACAAAGTACTGTTACATGCTGTAACACGCATGAACCAGAAAAATGTTATGCTAAGTGCAGTCACGAAAGACCATATATTATACAATGCTATGTATGTGAAATGACTTGAAAATGCAAATCTATGGATTAATGATTGCCTAGGTCGGGAGAGGATGGAGAGATTGAGTATTGGTCACTAAAGGGTATGAATTTCTTTTTGGGATGGCAAAAGTGATTTAAAATTGATTATGGTGATGGTTGCACAACTCTGTGAATATACCGAAACCACTGTATTTCACATTTTAAATGGAAAGATTCTAAGGTACATGAAGTATATCTCAATTTTTCAAAAGCCATGAGAACTGTTTACATGCTGCTATACCAGCAACTAGCATTTAAGATCAATACTATTACCAAACGAGCAGCAGGTGAAAGCTTAAGTGCTCCTATTTGAAAAGCAATGTTATTATAATATGGATTTACGTATTCCTAATATAATATGCCAGACGGTTACCTATTCTAGCATGGATTCTCAAAACTATCTGCATTTCGGTGAGTTTTTTTTTTCCCCCTGGCCTTCGCTAGGACAGGGTCTTGCTCTGTCATCCAGGCTGGAGTGCAGTGGTGCAATTAAGGAAGGAGACCACTCCTACTCCTGCTGCCCTTCTCCCCCCACCTTGCCTAGATCACAAGACAGGAAGAAAGGGAGAAAGCAAAAAGTCAGAAAGAAACAAAAGTAAGATGAATGGCCAGACAACCTTGGCACCACCACCCGGCCCTAGGAGTTAAAAAAAAGTAATAATAATAACATAGACCCCTGACCTAAACTACTTGTGTTATCTGTAAATTGCAGACACCGTATGAAAAAAGCGTTGTAAAACTTTTTTTTCTGTTAGCTGATGCATGTAGCCCACAGTCACATTCCCCACGCTTGCTCGGTTTATCACGACCCTTTCACATGGACCCCTTAAAGTTGTAAGCCTTTAAAAAGGCCAAGAATTTCTTTTTCAGGGAGCTTGGCTCTTAAGACGTGAGTCTGCCGATACTCTTGGCTGAATAAAAAACCTTTTCCTTCTTTAATCCGGTGTCTGAGGAGTTTTATCTGCGGCTTGTCCTGCTACACAATCACTGCTCACTGCAGCCTCAACCTCCTGGGCTCAAGTGATCGTCCCACTACAGACTCCCCAGCAGCTAGGACCGCAGGTGCTTCCCACCCAATACAAACACAGCCTGGCTAATATTTGTGTGTATTTATTTATTTTGTAGAGATAGGGTTTCACCATGTTGCCCAGGCTGATTTCAAACTCCTGGCCTCAAACAATCCTCCTACTTTGGCCTCCCAAAGTGCTGGGTTACAGGCATGAGCCGCCATGGCCTGCCAGAGAGTTTAAAAAAATACCGATGGATGGGTCTGACTCCCAGTCATTCTCAATGAGTTGGTCTGGGATGAGGCCTGGCATCAGTAGGTCTTTAAACTCCTCAGATGATTCTATTTTTACCTTTACTTTTTTAAAGCCAGTCAAATGTAGCCGTGCAGATGATTCTAGTAGGCAATCAAAGTTGACCTCTATTGCTGCAGATTCACACAACCTGGAGTCCCATTGATTGTTGATTGTTTTTTTCTGTTGTTTTTTTGTTTCTGAGACACGGTCTTGCTCTGCAGCCCAGCCTGGAGTGCAATGGGTGATCGCGGCTCACTGCAACCTCCGCCTCCCGGGTTCAAGTGATTCTCCTCCCTCAGCCTCCTGAGTAGCTGGGACTACAAGTGTGCACCACCACGCCTGGCTAATTTTTGTATTTTTAGTAGAAATGTGGTGGCTGGGAGTGGTGGCTCACACCTATAATCCCAGCACTTTGGGAGGCCGAGGCGGGTGGATCACAAGGTCAGGAGATCAAGACCATCCTGGCTAACACAGTGAAACCCCGTCTCTACTAAAAATAAACACACACACACAAAAGAAACAGGGTTTCGCCATGTTGGCCAAACTGGTCTCAAATTCCTGACCTCAGGTGATCCACCCGCCTTGGCCTCCCAAAGTGCTGGGATTACAGGTATGAGCCACCTTGCCCAGCTTATTGATTGAATTAAGAAAAAAATTAATTTGTGGTATAAAAATGGTAACTCCAGAATCCAGGCTACTCTCATTATCTAATTAAAATAGTACCTATTCCTTTTAAGAGCTCCTAAGAGAAGTGTGATACTTTTCTTGTAGGTATCTAGCTGATTTCTTGAAGTTGGTTCTGTACTAAGGTAATATCAGGTAAGTGGAAATGGAATTAAAAACTAAATGTGGCCAGGCGTAGTGGCTCACACCTGTAATCCCAGCACTCTGGGAGGCTGAAGCAGGCGGATCACGAGGTCAGGAGATGGAGACCATCCTGGCTAACACAGTGAAACCCCATCTCTACTAGAAATACAAACAATTAGCTGGGTGTGGTGCCGGGTACCTGTAGTCCCAGCTACTCAGGAGGCTGAGGCAGGAGAATCACTTGAACCTGGGAGGTGGAGGTTGCAGTGAGCTGAGATAGCGCCCCTGCACTCCAGCCAGGGCAACAGAGCAAGACTATCTCAAAAATAAATAAATAAATAAATAAAATTAATTAATAGAGACAGGTTCTCACTATGTTGCTCAGGCTCGTCTCAAACTCCTGGGCTCAAGTGATCCTCTCATCTTGGCTGCTGAAAACGCAGGGAGTACAGGCATGAACCACTGCAACCAGCCCAAATATTTTCTTTTCTGTTTTTTTTCGAGACGGAGTCTCACTCTTGTCACCCAGGCTGGAGTGCAATGGCGTGATCTCAGCTCACTGCAACCTCCGCCTCCTGGGTTCACATGATTCTCCTGCCTCAGCCTCCAGAGTAGCTGGAATTGCAGGCACCCACCACCACGCCCAGCTTTTTGTGTTGTTAGTAAAGATGGGGTTTCACCATATTGTCCAGGCTAGTCTTGAACTCTTGATCTCAGGTGATCCGCCCACCTCTGTCTATCAAAATGCTGGGATTACAGGCATGAGCCACCACGCCCCACCTGAAGCCTTATTTGGAACTCTCTTTTCTCCACCCATCTTCCTTCCCCCACACTGGCAACAATTCACTACGGTTTCTTGGGATTTCAGGAAGAAAATTAAAAGGAGAAGGCAACAAAAGAACTGGAATGTGGCCCATAAATATATTCCTATGCTGCTAGGATCATGAATCTTATCATTCTAGTAACACAACTCAAGAAATACCCTCTGCAGTCCTTGTTTATAATGCTTGTTGTATTTTTGCAATGTGAATTCAATGCGAAGGTTACAGGGCAACAGAGAGACTGATGTGAAGGCAAGCAACAGCTTTAAGTCAAAATGTACAGAATGTCTATTTTTGTTGATGGTGATTGGTGATGTTTAAGAAAACAGCTAGGCCGGGCACGGTTGCTCACGCTTGTAATCCCAGCACTTTGGGAGGCCGAGGCAGGCACATTACCTGAGGTCGGGAGTTCGAGACCAGTCTGACCAACATAGAGAAACCCTGTCTCTAAGAAAAATACAAAATCAGTCGAGGGTGGTGGCGCACGCCTGTAATCCCAGCTACTCGGGAAGCTGAGGCAGGAGAATCGCTTGAACTCAGCAGGCAGAGGTTGCGGTCGGCCGAGTTCATGCCACTGCACTCCAGCCTGGGCAATGAGAGCGAAACTCTGTCTCAGGGGAAAAAAAAAAAAAAAAAAAAAGAAGAAGAAGAAGAAGAAGAAAGAAAGAAAAGGGCTGTGTGGGCAGGAGGGCTGAGCCCGGCTCAGTAGGCTGTTCGCCTAATCCTGCTGCTGCAGCCTGAGTGATCAGCTGTTGGCGCTCCGCTGCCGGACGCATGCGCATCATGACGAGGCTGTCAAAGTCCCTTTCCCATAGCACTGAGTCTTTGGACCGCCCTGGGTTGCTGGGGCCCACAGCGCCCTGGGGCCGTCCCTCCAACCAGGAAATCTTCAGAGGGTTCTCCACCAAGCCAACCTCATTCCGGACGGCCAGCTCGGCAGACTTGACCGTCTCAAACTCCACCACGGCGACGCCTGCTTTCTTGCTGGAAAGCACCGGATTGTGAACCTCACCGTACTTCTGCAGAAGCTGCAGGACACCTTGGGAGTAGCCGCCTTTTGACGCATCCTCCGTCTTGCACTTCCATTTGAGCTTCAGTTTGGGGGTTCCTCTGCCTCTGGTGCTCTCGGCCTTTTCTTTCCACCTCTGGGCACGTGCCTGGAGGATCTGCTCCCGGAACAGCTTCTGCTGTTCCTCCAGCTGCCGGGAGCCCTCTTCTCGCAGGCGCTAGATCTCTTGCTCCACAGTCCTGGGGTTCCTGCTGCCCTCGGCATCCTCGCTCCTCTGAGCCTGGGCCTGCCGCTCCCGGGCCTCCAGTTCGAGCCTCACTCTCTTCCTTCTGTCATTAAGTTTCTGGGTCCTCTCTGCTGCATGCTTCCTGGCTTTCCTGACCTTGTCATAGGTAGCCCTGGCTGTAGCATCGGTCAGTACCTCTAAGACCCGAGAAAGCTGGGGGAAGAGTTCAGCGGCTCTGGGATTATCAGGATTTTTGTCTGGGTGGTAGGAGAGGGCCTTCTGCCTGTAGGCCTTCTTCACCTCTTTGTCTGTTGCTGTCTGCTCGATGCCTAGAAGCGCATACAGGTCCATCGGCAAGAGCTCCTTGGTCACCGCCATGGCTCCAGCCCTGACTGGAGTGAAAACACCAACTACCAGGGGTCTAAGCTACAAAAACTCCCTGGAGTCTGAGGGACAACTCCCAGGAGTCCAAGCGAGAGAGTATGGGAACTACCGGATCCCAATGGCGCTTAGCCTCCTGGGAATTGGCTCCTGAATTAATAACCCAGCTTCCAATCCAATCTCCCAAACCTGCCTGTGATCCCTGTGTCTATCTCCAGCTCTCAACTTGTTTTTAATCTTGGTTGTTGATGTTTGACAACATTGGATTACATTTATCATTTTGAACAGAGAGGAACAATGACTGCTTTTATTCCTATTGATTGATGAATTGATTGATGGGATCTTGCTATATTGCCCAGGCTGACCTCCAACTCTCGGGCTAAAGGGATCTTCCCACCTCAAACTCTGGAGTAGCTGGGACTACAGGGATATCACTGTGGTTTTATCATCTTTTTGTCATCTTATTGTACTTACGGTGGAGGGCAGTTGCTCCTGTTAACAATCCCAAGTTCTCACCCCTACATAGCACAACACACTTCATAAAATTGATGAAAGGAAAGGGAGGATAAAGGAAAAGTTGAGTAAATTAAATCCTAGGTTAATTTAAAGTTATTCTAAGTTCTGTAGATTCAGTTCAGATTTCAGTAAGCAGTAACCCTCTTGAAAAAAAAAAAAAGAAAAAAATCACTCTCAATTCTGACGGTTGATGGGTTGATGATAAAGCACAACTCTTTGCTTTTACCTCTTCTACACAGAAATGAAACAATTTGGGAAGACATCCCAAGAGAATCAGGAAAAACAAGGCAAGATAAGTGCTGTGGTTTGGATGCCCCCTCCAAAACTCATATAGAAATTTGCCACTGTGATGGTATTCAGAGGTGAGACCTGGCTGGGCATGGTGGATCACGCCTGTAATCCCAGCACTTTGGGAGGCCAAGGCGGGTGGATCACCTGAGGTCAGGAATTCGAGAACAGCCTGGCCCCATCTCTACCAAAAACACAAAAAATTAGCTGGTAGGGTGGCGGGCGCCTATAATCCCAGCTACTCAGGAGGCTGAGGCAGGAGAATCGCTTGAATCCACGAGGTGGAGGTTGCAGTGAGCTGAGATCACGCCATTGCACTCCAGCCTGGGCCACAAAAGGGAAACGCCATCTCAAAAAAAAAAAAAAAAAGAAAGAAAGAAAGAAAGAGTAAGAGGTGAGACCCTTAAGAGATGATTAGTCCATGAGGCCTCTGCCTTCATGAATGGATTAATGCTGGTATCTCGAGAGTGGGTTGTGTTATCCAGGGAGTGGGCTTCTGATGAAAAGATGAGTTCAGTTTCCATCCATTCTCTGTCTCTTATGCTTGTTTGCCCGTCTGCCATGGTATGACACTGCAAGAAGGCCCTCACAAGTTGTGGCTCCCCCCCCTTTTTTTTTTTGAGACAGAGTCTCAATCTGTCATCCAGGCTAGAGTGCAGTGGCGCAATCTTGGTTCACTGCAGCCTCCGCCTCCTGGGTTCAAGCAATTCTCCTGCCTCAGCCTCCTGAATAGCTGGGACTACAGGCGTAGGCCACTATGCCCGGCTAATTTTTTTTTTTTTTTTGTATTTTTAGTAGAGACCGGGTTTCACCATGGTGGCCAGGATGGTCTTGATCTCCTGACCTTGTGATCTGCCTGCCTCAGCCTCCCAAAGTGCTGGGATTACAGGCGTGAGCCACCGTGCCCGGCCAGTCTCTTGATCTTAGACTTCTCAGGCTCCAGAACCGTGAGCCAATTGAACTTCTATTCTTTATAAATTACCCAGTGTGTGGTATTCTGTTATAGAAGCAGAAAACAAAATAGAGTTTAGACATTGTAATCTTATTTAATAAAGACGACTTGAGTCCTATGTATGAGACATTCTTCCTTCTCAGGATCCTGCAACTTCCCTGTAACCAGCAGAAAAGGAGACGTGCAAGATGTTTGTTTCCATCTTTATTCGGGCTCCACTGAAGGACCTTCAGAGGTGTTGGGGTAAAACATAAACACTCTTTGGCTCCTCCTGTGCTCTGTTGGGCCTAGCAAGTGGGTTAGGAAAGACTGTTCCAAGAGTGGGTATTTCAAGCAACAGACGTATGTCCTGGCTGGGCGCGGTGGCTCAAGCCTGTAATCCCAGCACCCCGGGAGGCTGAGGTGGCTGGATCACCTGATGTCAGGAGCTCGAGACCAGCCTTGCCAACATGGTGAAACCCAGTCTTTACTAAAATACAAAAATTAGCTGGGCAGGTAGCGTGCACCTGTAATCCCAGTTACTGGGAAGCTGACACAGGAGAATCGCTTGAACCCAGGAAACGGAGGTGGCAGTGAGCAGAGATCATATCACTGTATACCACTCCAGCCTGAGCAACAGAGTGAGAGTGAGACTCTATCTCAAAAAAAAAAAAAAAAAAAAAGAGGCCGGGCATGGTGGCTTGGCCTGGCGTGGTGGCTCACGCCTGTAATCCCAGCACTTTGGGAGGCAGATGCGGGTAGATTGCTTGAGCTCAGGCGTTCGAGACCAGCCAGGTGAAACCCTGCCACTGCAAAAAAGACAAAAATTAGCTGAGCTTGGTGGCACGTGACTGTAGTTCCAGCTACTTGGGAAGCTGAGGTGAGACGATTGCTTGAGCCCGGGAGGCAGAGATTGCAGTGAGCTGAGATTGCCCCATGGCACTCCAGTCTGGGTGACAGAGAGCTTATCTAAAAAAAAAAAAAAAAAAAATACAGAAGAGAGAGTCCAGAAACAAACCCAAGTGTATAAAAGGGAATGTTTTGGGGTGTGGGATATTCTGTATCTTGACTGTTGTGGTAGTGTCACAAATACATACATTTGACAAAACTCATCGTACATTTAAAATAGGTACATACGATTCTATGAAAATTACACTGTAGTAAATTGGTTTTAACTTTTTAAAAAGACTTCTTAAGAAATCAAAATAGTAGTAAGAACTAATTTACTTTCCTAAACCCATGACATATCACATAGATAAAATTAGGTTCAGAAAGTAAAAATTACCTCAGCCTGAGAAAGTGAAAAAAAATCTGCCCTGCCATTCTTCTGGGTGGAGTTTATAAGTCAATGTTATTCGTGATACCATTCTGCCATGCAAAGCATTGTGAACATTTTGGTGTATTTTATCACACTGCGTTTGTTTGTTTGTTTGTTTGTTTGAGACCTGGTCTGGCTCTGTCGTCCAGGCTGGAGTGCAGTGGTGCCATCTCGGCTCACTGCAACCTCTGCCTCCTGGGTTCAAGGGAGTCTCCTGCCTCAGCCTCCCAAGTAGGTGGGACTACAGGTGCCTGCCACTATGCCCGGCTAATTTTTGTGCTTTTAGTAGAAACAGGGTTTCACCATGTTGGTCAGGCTGGTCTCGAATTCCTGATTTCAAGCAATCTACCTGCCCAGCCTCCCAAAGTGCTGAGATTACAGACATGAGCCACTGCACCCGGCCCATACTGGTTTTTCAGTTTTCCTTAAAAAAAAAAAAAAAAAAAAAGAGTTTTCCTTAAAAAAAAAAAATCAGTCATCTTTTCCAGATTTTCTTTATGGAATTACTTATATAAAGAAAAATACAGGCCAGGCACAGTGGCTCACACCTGTAATCCTAATACTTTGGGAGGCCGAGAGGGATGGATCATTAGAGGTCAGGAGTTCAAGACTAGCCCAGCGAGTATGGTGAAACCCTGTCTCTACTAAAAATACAAAAAAATTAGCCAGGGGTGGTGGTGCATGTCTATAATCCAAGCTACTCCAGAGGCTGAAGCAGGAGAATTGCTTGAACTTAGGAGGTGGAGGTTGCAGTGACCTGAGATTGTGCCAATGCACACTCCAGCTTGGGTGACAGAGAAAGACTCCATCTCAACAAAAAAGAAGGCCAGGCGCAGTGGCTCACGCCTGTAATCCCGGCACTTTGAGGGACTTCGGGAGGCCGAGGCAGGTGGATCACTTGAGATCAGGAGTTTAAGACCAGCCTGGCCAACATGGTGAAACCCTGACTCTACTAAAAATACAAAAATTAGCTGGGCGTGGTGGCACACACCTGTAATCCCAGCTACTCGGGAGGCTGAGGCAGGAGAATCGCTTGAACCTGGGAGGCGGAGCTTGCAGTGAGCTGAGATCGTGCCACTGCACTCCAGCTTGGCCACAGAGCAAGACTCCGTTTCAAAAAAAAAAAAAAAAAAAAAAGCAGTTAACCTAAAAAAGGATGGATTCATCCTATGTTCTTATAAGTCTAAAATTCAAAGCTACATGAGAAAGATTTAAATAGCACCACCATATTTAGCAAATAAAAATACAGTGTGCCAACTTAAATTTAAATTTCAGATAAACACTGAATTTTTAAAGTATAAGCATATCTCAGACAGTATTTGGGTTCCAATTATACTGAAAAAACTTTCAGTGTTTTATCTGGGTAGTCTGTACTTAGCCTGACATCCCTAGATTTAAAGTACTGCTCAGTGGTTCTCAAACTCTAGCATGTATTAAAGTGCTTATTAAAACAGGGCTGGCCGGGCGCGGTGGCTCACACCTGTAATTCTAGCACTTTGGGAGGCCAAGGCGGACAGATTGTTTGAGGTTGGGAGTTCAAGACCAGCCTGACCAACATGGTGAAACCCCGTCTCCACTAAAAGTACAAAAATTAGACAGGCGTGGTGGCAGATGCCTGTAATCCCAGCTGTCGGGGTGGCTGAGGCAGAAGAATCGCTTGAACCTGAGAGGCAGAGGTTGCAGTGAGCCGAGATCGCACCACTGCACTCCAGCCTGAGTGACAGACGGAGACTCATCTCAAAAAAAACCAAACCAAACAACAACAACAAAAACCCAAGGCTGACCCCTAATCTTGAGTTTGGGATTCAGGCGTTCTGGGTGGGACTTTGTAATTTACATTTCTAACATGTTCCCAGGTCCTGCTGCTGCTGCTGCTGCTGCTTTGGGACTGCACTTTGAGATCCAATGCAATAGCTAAGAAATAGCCTTCATTTATAAGTGGCT